TGTGGTCTTATTATCAGCAGCTGGTAGTTGTTTTTCAAGTGTCATGGTAGAAGTTGGTTATACACCTCGGTATCGGTTTCTATGGTATTTATTAACCTCGCGACTGCGTCGCTCGGTTAATAAATACCATAGAAAGCTCTACCTCGGTGTATAACCTATACTTATAATTATTTTTGTTTTTATTATTAAACAATAATTAGCTATTAATTATTCATTATGATGACATAGGCTGCCCAGCAGCTGCAGCTCCACCCGAAGCCATAGTAGTTGAAAACAAGTCTGGCATATTGATGTCCTTATGCTGTGTAGAAAGTTTGAGGTGATTCCGACTTCAATTTTTCAAGCTATGGCCAATTTAATAAAATGAAAAAATTTTGAAAAATGCCCAAAGATAGCCTATGGCTTTTTTTTAAATGGTTCCAAAATGAACCCAAATTTTTATTACATTTTCTGATGCATATTGATGTACTTATGCTGTGTAGAAAGTTTGAGCTGATTCCGACTTCAATTTTTCAGGTTACGGCCATTTTAATGAACCCAAATTTTTATTACATTTTCTGATGCATATTGATGTACTTATGCTGTGTAGCAAGTTTGAGCTGATTCCGACTTCAATTTTTAAAGTTATGACCATTTTAAGAAAATGCCAAAATTTTGAAAATTACCCAAGGCCATGTTTTTATGTTCTATAGCCCATGTTTTTTTCCGAAAAATGGCTCCTAAATCAACCCAAATTTTTATTATATTTTCTGATGCATGTATGTATTTCCAATGAAATACAACCCCTATACGGTACATTGTTGCATATTATCTTATTTTTTACCTAGTTTTCATGTGATTTCTTTATGTCAAGAGGTTCAGTGAATTACCTCAAGTTACTGTTAATGGAGTTGTACTGGAACTGGAGGATGAAGTAAGAGAAAGAATAAAGAGAGAGAGAGAGGGGGGGAGGGAGGAAGGAGGGAGCAAGGGTATTCTACAAGAAAGGAGATAGTTACAGTATTAGTTATTAGACTTGTCTTTTAGGATCTTCAGAATGCAATAGTTAATGAAGTTCAGCATCAAACATCAGAAATACAGCAACTAGTTTATAGAGTAAGTGATACACATGTACATGTACATTGTAACTTTCCTTGATATCTAATTATCTATTCTACATATTTACAAATACTGTATTTTATTCTTTTATTGATAATTATTTTGTACATAGACTTGTATATGCATTGATAAAATTTTTCTCTCACAGAAGGATCACTGATTCTACTAATATTTACAATCATTTCATGTCCAAGCCTAATGTCCTCCAGTGTCTCAATAAACACGTAGCTAATCTTGATAGTTTAAAGGTTGATCTCAGTGGAGTCTGGTCAGGAGGAGACCTTCCTCTTACATTACTCACAAAGGCTCAACTCTCAGCTGCAGTCGCCACTCAAATGAACTATTTAACCAGCAAAGAAGGTATGTATACTATACCATAAAAATTATTTTTGTCGTGATTTAAATGTACATGTATCTTTGAAACAAAGTTTATTTTTTACTGATTTGCAAAATTTGTAGCCGTATTTCAAAATGCCAAAAATAAAGACTGTTAAAAACATCAAATAATAATAATGTAATTTTAGTTATTTAAAAATTGTGGTGACATACATGTAAATGTGTCTCTACTTTAAGTGTTTTTTACTGATTAGCAAAATTTCTTACCCTCAATTTTTTTGCAAAATTTCATTCACAAATAATTCATTTTATACTCGTTTTATTCCCACAATATTTTCATGTATTACATTGTAACTGCACCCTAATTTATGTCCTTATACCTTTCATTGTCAGGTGAGTTTACTATGAAGCCAGTCAGTCTGTAGGTTGTGTCTGATTTGTCCACTTCCTCTGGTCGACAAATGATCTTGAATGTATTGAAATTTATGGTAAATTAACCCTCTTATTATTTACTTTATTTATCATGATTATTTAGTTTGTTTGTTGATTTATATACATGTGTAAGTACATGTACATATATCTCGTTATTGTTGGTTGTTATTTTTTATTTTTTATTTATTATTACTGTTATTTACTTAGGAGACTAAATTATTAGGAGACTAAAGATACAGTTCGTGTTGGTATTATTGATAATCCCTCCTCCTCCTCTCTCTCTCTTATCCATCAACTATCAGTCTCCATTATACAATCACAGAGACCTTCAGTAGCCATACAATCACTCACTCTTCTATTATCACTGGAGGATGGGCAGGGCTTAGAAAATGAAGAGGAGCTTGTTGGTCTTTTTAAAGACATAGAGGTACTGGATATCTGAAAATATTTGAGGAACATTTTGTAATTTGTGTTATTTAATTTTTATTTAATTTTAGTTTAATTAAGTGAAATTAAATTTTGATCCTCATTAAATTGTTGCATTTTTAATTTCATTTATTGTTATTTTTAGAAATTTAAAATGGCTGCCTTTGAGAAGAGAATGAAAGAGTTGGCGTCTTCAAGTGTTTTTGAGTATCAGAGAGAGTTTCTGAAGAGGGTACTCCAATTAGAGCCCAGGGCATCAGCCATACTGAGCAATGGGAGGGTAAGCATTAATTAAATTAAATTGTAAGTATTATTATAGTCAGTTGTACATGCACTATAGTATAGTATAGTACTTTCCCATTATTGTATTATTAATTATGGTACCTCAAATTTAGGAAGATTTACAGTATCCCATTAATTAAAACTAACAGTACATTTAACATAAAATGATACGTGTGTTCATGTCCATGCTGTAAAGAGTTATACTTGTGTTAGTACAAATTTTAAGCATAATATTATAATATAGTTACAATGTACATGCATGTACATGTACATGTACATGTATGTTTAATGATTAATTTATTTTTATTGTTATTTTTTAGTTGATTGGTCCTTTGGGTCCTAAGGAGTCATTCATTTTTGATGATTTGGAAGCTCTTTATAATTTTGAGATCAGTTCCCATGCTCAGACTATATCAAATGCTATTGATTCAGTTGATTTGATTCTACCTGATCCTGATTCTGATACCACTGAATATCGTAGTGATCTGGTCATGAGATTAGCCTCATTGTTACGGAGTCAGACTAAAGCAAGACGATTAGAACTGGATGGTTTTAAGAAAGAACACAGGTACACTATACATATACCATAATAGAATTGAATTGGGTGAAATTGAACTATAATACGCAAATAAACTTAAAATAATAGTTTTTTGTAGATACTTTCTTTGGCTTCCCAAAGTCATGGGCTTGTATCTTGCTGTTGGCCTAAGTTTTATTTAATTTTCTGATGTTCATATGCCATTTAAGAAATAGATGCCCTGGCTGCATTGGAGGAAACGTTAAATTTGTTAATTTTGAAGGAAAATTGACAATTTTGCCTTTTGTAATTAAAATCTGCCATTTAGTACCATTATGTGCATGCTCAATGGCACAGGGATCTAATTTAAACCCACCAATCACTACTTGAAAACTTTAGCAATTAACCAAAATTTATTATATTTTCTCTCTCTCACCCTCTTCCTCTCTCTCCTCTAGTGTTCTTCTGTTCCTCCTCTCTCCTCTGGTCCTGTTATTCATATTCTCCTGATATTAGATCCTCTCTCTCCTTCCTCTCAGAAGCTGTCCCCACTCTTAGGGAACCTCAAGGACCTCCTTCCATTGAATATCACTGTTCTCTTTGTAATGAAGTGACTGGACATCATTGTTTACATTGTGTGTGTACTGTATATACTGTGAACCTAATGCGCATGCTCAGTATGCATGTGGTGATTCAATGAATGTATGGCTCTCTCCTCTCGTTTCACTTGTTTGTTGTATTAATATGATCTTCATTACATTGGCGCAGTGGGTAGTTGACTGGGAGACTCTAGTTGCCCTAGAAAGCAGCACTGCTGAAAGCTACCTCTTGAAGTGCCAGGAGTTATACCTCGAAGGATGAAGGTAGAGGTCCCTGAACTGCCTGGTGGGTATACTCTGTCGCCCCGGTCTACTATTGAATCAAGAACTATGTTGGATCTATTGATCTCGACGAGACTACACCGATTACTCGAGGACCCACTCTTACAGCTAATCTACCCCGCTAT